TGACACTGGCTCTGCTGCTGGAGTTAAAGGTTTGGGAAAAGCTTTGGAAATTAAAAAAAGAAGCCAATGTTGGAGCGCCGGAAACACTTAGAAGCTGAATGTGTGGGGGCGCTTCACTGTGTGTGTGTGTGTGTGTAGCTGCCAGTGTGTGTCTATGCAGAGTTGGCATTGCTTAATGGCTTGCACAAGCATGGGCCAATGACGGAGTTGCCAGGGAAACAGAGCGGCATGAGCCTCGGTCTGCAGGTGCTGCGCCTCGTGTCCTACTGCTGGAAACTCCTACGAATGAGGAGGGGGAGGGAGGGGGGAGGGAGAGAGGTGAGGGGGAGAGAGGGCTGAAGACGAGTGAGGTCAGGAAATCATAAAAAGCTTAAGGGAAATGGTTAAATGCAAAGTCAGGATTTTTTTTTAATGAGAGTAAAGTTGGACTGAAATGGACAGAAGTTTCTGAGTGGAACTTTTCAGGGAAGTTCGGAGAATGAGAGCTTGATTTTTATGATGGTTTACATGATGGTTTCATGGTCTAAATGACCAGAGGTCTGTTTTTCTTTTATATATATAAAATAGATGGTAAAGCACATTCTGACCATAAATTATAACAGTTATATAACAGTTATTGTCAACACCATAGAGCGAGGTGTAAATATCTGCTGCCTCTTTATTAGTTTTTCAATTATTTCCGGCAAAATTAAATTTAGAAACTGTGAAGTGAAAAACCTTGAAAGTTAAGATTTCAGGATTGAAAAGTTTAAGGTAAAACGTTGACTGACCGATGTAAAAAGATGGATAATATGCTCAGGGATTGTAGGCTGCAGTACCATTTCTGACCACTACTCTACTGTTATATATGTTTTCCCATTGTGCTGAGGTTAATTACTCTTTGAGTAACTGGTGTAAACTGAACCACAGCCTGGTTCACGTCAAACTTTGATTCTTGTTTCTTCCTCAAGTTGAACAAAAAGCCCAAATTAAATGTAAAAAAAAAAAGAGAGAAGCAGCCTGACCGCAACCAAGGTCAGACTTCTGAGGAGCAGGAAGGAGAAACGTCTAGATGAAGGAGGCAGAGGAGGAGGAAGGAGAGGCAGCAGTGCTGCTGGGTTCATCCTGGAGTCAGGTTGGAGGTTTGACAGAGATACTGCACAGGCGGAGGCTGCGCCGTAACATTTGTGTGACTGTCAGTTTAAATCTCCGCCGTTTCCACCGTCTGTCTGTCTCTGAGTGACAATCCTGGAGTTGTGCTCCGACACTCCGGGCTGTGATTTCCTCCTTTCTCCTCATAAATCTTTCATGCTCGGTCCGTTAGCGGGGGTCGTGCGTTAGAGGAGCGTCACGCACCCGTGACCTCCCCCTATCTGTGTGTTTATGAACACATTCACTCTGCTATTAGTATTAATGAGAGCAGTTTGCTGCGGAGGCATAATAGCTGTGTGCATAATGAATTCAATGTCAGCGTCTTCATTCCGTACACGTTCCTGTATCAAGAACAGAATCTTTCTTTTTTTTTTTTTTTTTTTTTTTTTCTTTCCAACCACAACAAGATGTTGTAGAGACTTTGAAGCTCGTAAAGGCGGAGCTGAAGCTTCAGGAGACTTCGTCCTTGAGTCGCGGTGACAGGTGTGGAGCTGCTGAGCTCACCAGATGTTCAGGTGGAGGAGGACAGAGAGTACACTAGGGGGACAGAACGGGTGAGAAAGCAGAGGTCTGACAGTCTCGCCTTCTTTAAGGTCGCACCGTGGGCTGTTGTTTATCAACAGTGACACTCAGTGGTTTCTCTGCCGCGTGGGACGCCTGTCATCCCCACTGTCGGACAGCCGGCCAATCACAGAGCACAGAGACTGTGTTGTTGCGTTCCTCCAGTGTTACATTCATGAGAGGGGGGGGAGGGTGAGAAGTGGGGTATGACTAACCAACTGAGTAACTGTCAGGGCTCGTGGGACTCTGGTGCTTTTCTTTGCAGATGACGACCACACTTTTTTAAAAAAGCTGTCAGAGCAGAAAAAGTTTGCCTTAAAGACAAAAAAAAAAAAAGAGAATCTTGTCTTTGATCAGAGGCAGTTCCTAAAACTGGCCCCTCCATCAGCACCACCTCCGCCGTAGAAGGTGGGGTGGACTTTAACAAGGCTGCAGATTGAGAAGCAAAACAAACAATTTGCGGTGATTAGAGAAAATTGGAACGAATCTTTGTGTCGTCGTCCTTTTCTGCTGTGACACGGTTTGCTGTTTCCACACTTTCACCTAGTAGTCCAGGTACAACGTGGTACCCTGTCAGAATGTCACCTACTTTCAATGTGTGTACACAGCACAGTTAAAAAACTGCAATATGTGCAGTACTGTCTCGTATATTTTAGCTCCATAAACAGAAAAATACTGAGATTCAAAACACCTAAAGAACAGTAACAGTAGAACAAGAACAGTGAGATACAGTATGGTTTTTCTTTTCAAATTATAATAAATATAATAGCAACAGTATTTTTACAGGTTTTTAAGTCCAGAGATGATGTGTTTTTGTCAAACGCTTTTGCAGAATGAAGGCCTGAAAGCAGAAAGAGAAGTAAAAAACAAATCTAAAGTGAGGCAAACACTTGTCACTTTAGTTCATGAACACGTCAACTGTTTAGCACTGGGGCAGAAGTCAGATCGTAAAACAAATTCCCATCAAACACCGCTGACATAAAGCAGCAAAAAGTCATTCGCAAATATTGTGTAATTTTTTGGAAGAATCTGACCAACGTGGACTCTGAGCAGTGGAAACACACACACACTCACACACACACACGCTGGCTTCAGTCGTTCATCCGCAGTGAGCAAGATGCTGAATAATGGAGCTGAGACCAATATAAGTCCAGACTGTGGGTGTTTTACAGGAACCAGCGGACCCTTCACAGGTCAGCAAATAAAACCCCTCTGTGGGGCCTCAAAAAAAAAAGAAAAAAGGAAGTGAAACCTGACGGCTGCTCCTCGCGTGGAGTCCTGCCTGGTCTGTTCATTCACAAACTCCCCTCTTTGTTTGGATCGTTTCCTCACTGCCCGTCCAGGCCGGTTGCCATCGGTCATGTTTCATTTGTTATCTCCGTGGCGTGTGAGTTAATGTGGCCCAGAAGTGTGTGTCAGGGTGAGGAGGTGGGCTCCTCAGCTGCTCCGACCCACAGGGTTCTGTCAGGTCGATGGCGAAAGACGGGGTCAGGGTCAAAGGGTCAGGTCAGTATTTTCAGGACATATTGACGTCGTGCGTTGATGGACCAGGCTGGATGTGGATGTGTGTGTGTACGTATGTGGAGGCGGGGTCAGGAGGTCGTCGGCGGGAACGGCAGTGAATCTGCAGCGTCTTCTTTGGCAGATGAATTCCTGAGGTGTTTTTCTCTCACCTGATGTCGACAGAAGTGATTGTTGTTTTATGTTCGGGTACGAAAACGCTGTGCGTGTCAGTCTTCTCCGTACGTCATCACCAGATTCCACAGAAAAGTATTGCAGTTCTTGCTCAATGGCGTACGGGTTTACTACTGTCTGTTTTTATTACATTTATGTCACTCACCTAAGTTAAATCAAATAATTTCAAACTCTGATAGAACTGAAAAATATATAAGAACCTACATTGAAATATATCTATATATATTTGTATGTCTATACATATGTTTACATATACACACATATATCAATGTTTATGTATGTGTATATATGTATATATACAGTATAACGAAGGCAACACTTCTTCCTCCCTGCAGTAAATGTTGTGTCTAAGAAACATATTCAAGAAAATATTTTAAAAATATAAGCAGGTTTATTTCGTTAGTCGTGGCTTAAAAAGTTTCTGAGCTCAGTTATCGACTGTTGAGTTGTTACAAACTCATTAATAAAAAACCCCAAAAAAAAAACCTCTCAGTTGAGCGTTAGAGAAATGGTCTCATTAGAGACACTGCCTTAATGATCCAGTCCAGTCTCCAGTGTTTTCAGACAAACTCTAATGTATGAATCCACACTATACGTTCACTTCTCCACTGAAAAACATCATTATATTGTTTTCCCCTAGTGGCGATTTTCGACTTTAACTAGCAGTATTATCTAATCATTTGACCCATAACTGCTGCAGTGGAGGACGTAGCTAACTTTAACTGGCAGTATTATCTAATCATTTGACCCATACATTTAGCTTCATGACCCCCTTTGGAACCACAATCCATCGCTTGAGAATCACCAAAATGTTAAGCTGTTGAGCTAATGTTAATGTTAAGATCTCCATCTCTTATTTATCTATCTACGTATCTATCTAAATGTGCATTACTGCCACCTATTGGCAAATATGTTTTCATTAATATGCCTCTCCTCGGGGGTCACACAGAGGCTCTCGGCCTCTAATGAGGAGAATCTCACTCTGTCAGGTCAGCAGCAACAGCCGCTTCTTGGATTTCTTTATTTATTTATTTCTGCTTTTCCGAGACGGGAAAGCTGTCGGTGAGCAGCCTTTGCCGCAGTTGTGTCTTCCCAGTCATGGAAAATTAAAAAAAAAAAAGGGGAGTGAGAGCCGCAGAGGAGGAAGAGTGGGATACGTTTGGAACGGAGCCACAGTTAAAGGTGTGAAGGAGAGGAGGCGGAGGAGGCGGAGGAGGATCCTGTCCTTTGGAAAACACTTCGTTCTCTTGTGAAACTCCTCTGTTCTCCTCCTTCAGCCTGTGTTGCCCTGGGGGGAACATTCCAGGGGGTTGAATTCTGGGGTATTCTCATTTACGTCCAAAAAACAAAACAGAAGAAAAAAAAATCAGTTTCACTTTCAAATCTCACATCCTGTCACGTCTTCACGCTTTCGTTTCCACCTCACCTTCTCCTGCCCCGTGTCCTGACCAGGGTTTGATCCAGACACAGGAGTGTGTGAGAAACATGCAGAATGTGTTTAAGGGAACGTCATGACTAATGGTATGTGTGTGTATGTGCCGCAGGTGTTGCATTAGTTTGTTCTGACTGTAAATGTGTGTGTCTGTGTGTCTGATTTAGTAGAAAGAGGAACGACGTGGCGGTGCATCAGCGAGCGAGTGAGCGCTGATGATTTCACTTCCGGCTCATGTTGTGTTGGAATCTCCGACAATGATCCACGACCTCTGTGACCTTTATAACGTTGCCCTGCAGTAGATTGACTTTTGTGATTATTCATTAGAATCTGGCTGAAAGAATTACTCGTCCATCCTTGTACCGGTTTGCAACTGTTTCTTGGGTAAAAAAAAAAAAACAGTTCTAGGGGTTTCTTCTCATTTAATGAAATATAACATGAAGTGTTTGCGCATTTTTTCACTTTCAAAATTCATCAAGCGGGCCCGATTTTACCTCCCAACGGACCATTTTTGGCCCGCGGGCCGTATGTTTGACACCCCTGGTTTAAATAGTTGTTGTTTTAGGATGAAACCATGGATTGAATCCACGCTGTTTTCGTCTCTATGTGTGGTTTCACAGCAGCTGATGTGTGGGTGTAGCAGCGATCTGTGTCTCCGTGTCTCCGTGTCTCCGTCTTCTTCTGACTCCACAGATCATTCCTGCCTCACTTCTCCTTCTCCCGTGAGCACCTTCATTAGTCGGACTCTGTGCGTCGCCCGCTCGACCTGCGAGGACAGGATCAATGGGACGCAGGAGTATTTATAGGCCGCGGTAGCTTTTCTACGCCACAAGGAGGTTGGCGGCTAATCTGATGTTGACAGTGTGTGTGTGTGTGTGTGTGTGTGTGTGTGTGTGTGAGGGACTTACAGGAGCTTTAGCCTGTGTACTGCTTTGTTTTGCTGCTGCCTGTTGTTTTTTATTGTATAAATAGAACAGCTATTCAGCTGGAGGGGAAGTCAGAGCTCAGGCAGGGAAGGAGGGCTTTCCCTGATTTAGAGTTGGGATTGAAAAAAAAGAGAGAGTGAGGAGGAGGAGGAGAGAGAAGGAGGAGGGAGGGAGGCAGGAACTGGAAGGCAGGGTGGAGAAAGAAGCGTGGAGGCTCGCACCGCTCAGTGCAGGAGCCGCAGGAGAAGTGAAAGCACAGAGACACAGCTGTGTGCTGAGGACAGACGGCAGCCAGGCGCTCGGCTTCCCGTTCTGCCGTGGCATTTCGCTTTTACTCTCCCCTCATCCTGCGTGTTACTGTGTGTGTGTGTGTGTGTGTGTGTGTGTGCAGCGGAGCGAGGCAGAGGAATGTCAGCGGTTATTAGTTGGAAAAGTGTCTGTCTGGGTCAGGAATCTCAGGTGTTTCCCCACCAGCGTGTCTGAAACCGGGAGGTAAACCAGCGGCGGCGGCGGCGGTGGTAGTACAGGGTGTTTGCGTCACTTCCTGCTCCTCTCAGGTACAGTGCGGTGCAGAATCTTGTTGTTTTATTTTGTCTTGATGTCTCTGCTGCAGGCTCTGTGTCAGCGTGGACTCTTTGTCTCTGTCTCTTTTATTTGTTGATATGTTTTCACACCCCCTCGACCCCCCCTTCCTTCCTTCTTCTTTCACTCGGTCTGACTGACGTCACTGGACGGCTGTGAATCAGCTGGTTTACATGCCAGTGTGTCCCTGGCCATGGAACTTAACTCCAGTGGCTGAGCTTTTGATTGAGATTGAAAAAAGAAGAAGTAGCTCCAAAGGAGTGTGTGAGTGAACAGGTGTGAATGACTGTGAATGTTGTTGTGAAAGCACAGGTCTTTGAATCTGACAGCAGCAGAAAATGATCATCCACAGGAAGTAACTTTTTTTTTGACAGATCATTACTAAAAAAAAACATTCCAAGAATGAAACGTTTTAGCATCTCTGCCCAGAAGCTGGGCTTAAAATAACAACAAACCGCGTGAGAAATGATTATTGACTTATTTTAAGCAAAATATGATCAGCAGAAAAAGTTTTATTTTTAAAGGAAATTGTGTTACATAGAAACAGAATGGTTAGCTAAAACTCTCAACAGGAACAAAATAATGCTTAAATGTAGCTAAAAGTGGAGCCTAGCTAATAGCTAAAAGCAAGTGGCTTAAGGTTAGCTGTAAAATAGCCAAAATAGCTACAAGTTAACACAAAAAGTATTTACACAAACCACAATCAAAGAGATAAGAAAATGTGTCAGTCATGAAAAAAAAAAAATCCAAATTACACATGGTAAAAGAAGTTACTAAAAGTTAGCCTAAAAAAAATTTAAATACATATATGTTAGCCAAGGTGATGGCTAAAAGTTAGCTCAGAAAAGTACCCAAAAGTTACAAAAAGCTGTGGTAAAATTTTTTTTTAAAAAGTATTAAATAATAATAATAAATAAATGTATATTAAAGTTTTACACAGTGAATTTACAGGCCTGGTCTGGACCAGACAAAACCTGTCCATGTCCCCTGATAGGCCCTCACACCTCATTTTGGACACCTCTGAATGAGTCAGTGATAAATATTGTCAATGTGTCACATATTTGTGTATAGATATAAAGACACATCTGTGAACTCCAGCCGTTTTTATGATTCATAGCCCTGTAAAAACAGAGACCAGTTTCAACTGGTTTTCACCAGTTTCATTCAAACCAAAACAAATTCTACCGATTCAGGTTCAGCACCTGTCAGAGTCACAGTCTTCATCACAGTCTTCATCATCATTATTGCCTTCTTGGTTGAGAGGTTAACAACCCCGGCAGCTGACTGACCCTCTACTGTCCCCGGTCATCGTCTGACTGTGTGCCTCCCTTCATCTTCCTCCTCCTCCTCTTCTTCTTCTTTTTCTTCTTCTTCTTCTTCTTCATCTTCCTCCTCCTCCTCTTCTTCTTCTTTTTCTTCTTCTTCTTCTTCTTCATCTTCCTCCTCCTCCTCTTCTTCTTCTTCTTCTTCTTGTTCCTCCTTGTCCAAACCGTTGCTCCAGCTGATGCATGACATGAGCGGGAGGACGGGACGGGATCAGCTCATGTTCTGCAGCAGGAGATGAGCTGAAGGTGTTACGCAACCGGCCGAGTCCAGAGATAGAGCGGAGCAGAACGTCTTCTCTCTTTTTTATCCTCTCTCTCTTCTCTCACACAACATGAGCTCATCAGGACGCCTTAACCCCCCCCCCCTCTGTGCTGCTTCATGTAAGAATAGATGTGCTCAGACCAGAGGAGACACACATGGTGAGGTCAACGCTCTCATCACTCTGTTTGTCTGTGATTTGATTACACACCTCCAAAAGCATCTTCCTGTTAGCTCAGCTGGAAACTTCAGGATTTTCTGTGGCTCTGGTTAATCAGCTGCTGTCCAAACACTTCCTCTTTGTCACTTTTGTTTTTTGCAGGACTGATAAAGTAACTAAGGCTGCAGGCAGAACGGGCTCTGATGTCATCTGTTGTAAATTTGCATAGAAACAGACAAGTGCATCGGTGATGGGCGAGGGAACTGCAGGAACTCAAACATTTTAATTTCAGGAAAGAAAAATAAAACTAGAACGCACTAAACATCCTAACGCTTAAACTTTGGCAAAATGTTTATTTTGAATTCTAGCCACCGGCCACATTGGATGGTTCGGTGGGCCAGATCTAGCCCGTAGGCCACGTGTTGATAATCACTGTGCTACTCCATCAGGAATGATCTGTTGCATGGACACAATAACTACAATCTGAAACAACTATAACATTTGTTTTTAATTTCAAAGGTCTTTAGAAGACAGAAAAAAATTAAGAGAAAAGTCACAAACGTAGAAACGGAGGAAATAGAGACGGTGCGTTTTTACAGTAAACCAGGCCAGAAATAGATTCAGAGGAATAGAACAGAGGCTGGAGATCTGTCACACTTGGTCTTGTGATTTCGGACCATCAGAGTAATCCACCGAAACAAACATCGGTCGTGATTCTCCAAAGACTAAACCTGAATCGACTCAGGATGTTCTCCAGGAATGAAGGATGTCTTTGGTGCGGCCGTTGGTTCTGTTGGTTTCAGCCTCCTCAGGTGTGACGGCTCTTTGTTTTCAGCTCTTTGTGTTGTGTTTACCGACAGGAAGTGATTTGATGGAGTTGTGTTCATGTCGTTTAACCAAACTCTCAGTCTGAGGATGTTATCCAGGGATCTTCTTCCTTTTTTTCTGCCGTGTTTTTGCCGAGAAGGTAATTGTCAGCTGCTGCTCCGACTGCAGAGCTGGAAACAGTTCTGGTTCCACAAGAGTCAGAACTGTTGGTTGGCTGTTTGGTTTCCATGTCCTGGTACTGTTTTTAAACTGTGATAGACGGAGGAGAGTGGGCGGTCGAGGTGTAGAGGCAGAGAAGGAAGAGGAAGAGAGAGAGGGGGGGGCAGAAAATGGTTAAAAGAAATGGGGGAGTGAGAGAGGAACGAGGGTGACTGCAGGACACAACAATCAAAGAGGAGAGAGGGACAATAAGACGAGGAAGCTGAGGACTGAGGAAACATCAGGGGGAGGAGGAGGAAGAGGAGGAGGAAGATGAAATGAAAACAGTGAGGGAACGCCATGTGTCTCACGCTGGGTGTCATTATGTAACGGTACCTCCTGCCCACTGCTGATGGCAGAGGAAAACACAGAGAGAGAGAGAGAGAGAGAGGGAGCAGTGAATGGCTCGGACGTGGGTGGCAACAACAGCAGCTCAGAGGAAGAAGCAGCCACAATGACCATCACATCAGAGGCGGAAAAAAACATCCTTCTACCTCCCTGTAATTCCCAGAATTCTCCCTGCTGCAGATGGTCGCTGTTTGTCAGATCCGCTATTAGACACGCAGGCTAGAGACCTAAACCAACACTCCATAGTCTCTGGGTTTTATTTTTCTTTTTTTTTTTTTTTTCTTCGTAATCAGGCTAGCTCTGGGAGCGGGATGTGATCGTGGACGTTGTTCTTCATGAGGAGTTTTTGAGTCTTTAGTCGCGCTTTTATCTTGGTCCAAGTGTTCTTGGAAAACCCGAGTCCGGTTTCCACCAACAGGGGGCACCGCCACCTCTGGGCTCTTGGCGTCCAGCTGAGTCCCCGCGCTTACCACCTGGAAACCCATTAGAAAAGGTGATCTGGTGTTTGATCTTGGTGTTCGTGTCCACCAGGTGTCCCTAAAAGAAAACCGTCCACTTTGGTTCTCTGTCAGTTGATGGATGATGATGTCATAGATGATGTCATAGATTATTATATGAATCCACTGCTGTATATGTGATTGAGTGTACTTCGTACTTAGCTAAAACCAATGACGTTTCGTAGTGCTAAAGCTAGTCTTTGGTCTATGTGAGGCCCTAGAACCACGATTTGAAGACCAGTTATCACGGGGGCTTGTTACTTAGAAGGTCATGCAACCCTGGGGTTAGTAATTCCAAAACCTTTTAAAAGGTTAATTTATCAGGTGAAGTCATTGGTGGAAATTCCTCCGTGTGGTTGAGAACTGTGAGTTGATGTGTTGTACGACATCACACTTCTATATCAGGACTTCCCTCTGGAAGTGAATCTAAACTCAGTGACTTGTTTTTTTTTTTCACATCCCTTGAGAAAGGTTCATTTCTGCCACCAGTGCCGACGCCTCGCCAGTTAACACACGCAGGGTCGTCTGTGGTGCAGCGGCCGCCGAGACACGTCCCTCTGTGTTTACATGCAGGAGCAGCCATGCAGCGGATATGTGAGAATGTGTATGTGCTAAATGAGCTATACAAGCAGATGGATGTCTGAACACAGAGAGAGAGAGACAGAGAAACAGAGAGAGAGAGCCCTGTGGGAGTCTAGCAGAGTCGACCTCTGCGGGGTGAGCTGAAGGCGCGCTCTGACATCATGCTGTGAGCCGCAGATGCTCTGCTTTGTGTTGTACGTGTAAAGCTGCCTTTGAAAATGTTGCGTCCATGTTTGATGACATCACAGAGACGCTGTGAACAGGTTGGATTAAAAAAACCAGCTCAGATCCCCAGAGGTGTCCTGTCAATCAAACAATCACTCATGGCTGCCGTGAGGTCGTTGTGATGTCAGTGGCGTTGGTGCGTCTCCTCACCAGCGTTGTGAATGGTCGCTGCTCCTCGTGTACGATTCTTTTTATTCCTCTTATATAAAACCAACCCACTCCTGCTCCATGATCGTCTCCGTCTCTATTTCTGGAAGATACGATGACGAACGTTCTCTCTGGACAGGTGGAGTGAGAGGAGAAAAGTTTTTCAGAATTATTTTTTTTTAGATTATGAACTAGTTCCAGGAACACTGCACGGTACCAGGGGCAGCTGGTATCTTTATCACTGAAATGAGGAATTCTGTGAAATATTTAATACTGTGTTTTGGCCCTAAAATACTCTAGACACAAGAGTATTAGTAGTAGTAGTACCACTGTGGCAAAAATTGAATTCCCAAAAGAACTCTTTCTGAATGTTTGGTTAATTTAACAAACGTTATTGAAGTTTTTC